TGTAACAAATACTTGAGTTAGTCAACTTACAAAGAGAAAAGATTTATTTTGAGTCTATAGTCTATAGGCTCCATCACTTTGGGCCTTTGGCCAGGCAGTGTATCACAGTGGGAGGCACAGAAGAGCAGAGCTGCTTGCTTCATGGCCAAGACGTAGGTGTACCATGAGGGTACAGCAAGTACAAGGAACGGGGGCAGAGCACCAGGTCTTATAGCCCCCTTTGAAGGCGTATCCCAGGGCCTGAAGACCTCTTGCTAGGTCCTACCTCTTAGAGTTCTATCACCTTCCAACACAATCAACCTGGAGACCAGACCAAGCCTAGCTGTTGGAGGAATAGTCCAGATCCCAACTAGAACAGTATTTTTCACTTATTAAGTAAATTGACCTCCGTGATGTGCTTGACAAATGTTCTTCCTCATTATTTTGCCCTTGCTTATTTGGTGCTTTATCCCCCACACAAATTTTTTTAATACAGTTGAACTTTCAATCTTTTATGTTCTGACTTTTGGCTTTTAGATTTTGTGTCATACTGACCCTGCATTAACATTATTTTAAACAACCGTTCTACCATGATTGATTGCGGGTTTGTTTTTGTTTTTGTTTTTGTTTTTTGGTCTTTTTGAGACAGGGTCTCCCTGTAGCCCCAGCTGTCCTGGATTCACTATAGAGACCAGGCTAGCCTCAAACTCACAGAGATCTGCCTACCTCTGCCTCCCAAGTGCTGGGATTAAAGGCGTGTGCCACCACGCCCGGCTGATTGTGTTATTTTTATAGCTTCATTCTATACATTTCAGGGTTCCCCCCCCCCTTTGGTGTTTTTGAGACAGGGTCTCCCTGTAGCCCCAGCTGGCCAGGAACTCACTATGTAGACCAGGCTTGGCCTCGAACTCACAGAGATCTGCCTGCCTCTGCCTCCCAGTGCTGGGATTAAAGGCATGCGCCTCCATGCCTGGCACCATTTTAGGTTTTGATTCAAGTAAAATTCTTCCTGGAATATGAAGTATGAATTTAACTCAACTATTCCTGAATGGTTATCTAGTTTTACAGAAGTGTTTACTGAATAATCCTTCTTTCTCCACCATATTTGAAATGTACTTTCGTCAAATATTAAATACCTCTATGTACTTGGGACTATTTTTGTGTTGTTGACATTCAAGATATGTATAAAATTTTACAAATATCACAAAGCATTTATTATTATTATTATTATTTTGTCTTTTGAGACAGGGTCTCCCTGTAGCCCCACCTGTCCTGGAACTAGCTATGTAGACCAGGCTGGCCTTGAACTCCCAAGTGCCTCCTAAGTGCTGGGATTAAAGGCATGCACCATCACACCTGGCTCGAACCTGGAGCTTTTAAGTCTACATTTCTAAGCCTCTCCTTCCAGAGATTTCTATATTTTGCTTAAAGCCTGTTTTCCATACATGCTCCCCTACCCTGAAGCTACTCAGTAGCCTATGAACACCCTTCCTCCTCTCACACCTGCCTGCTTAGGCTCTTCCCTTCCCCTCCCCTTCTGCCTATCCAAAGTGCTTTTCTTCAAGAAGATACTTTGGCAACTCCAGACAGAAATGACCTCCCTCCTCTTTGCCCCAATGTAGGTGCTACTTATCTAGTGACTAATCCAGTATCACCTTGTGCAGTGTTCGTGTTGTTAAAATGCGCTGCCATTTATTTCTTGCATAGTTTCATGTTAGTGAGTTTGTATCTGGTTTCCTGAACTAGATCCTCACTCAGGGAGTGTGAGCCTTGTCTGTCTTATACCCCAACAGCCTCCTGGATATGGTGATCCTGGTGGAAGGACAAGCAACTTTCTGTGTGCCAGTACTTTCCACGAATATACTTGCTTGTCGGTGGGTGGATATTTGAGGGTTTCAGTGCCGTTTGACTTCAAGCTAAACTTTTGAAGGGAGTCATAAAAGAGAGATCACCCATCACAATACCTGACAGTAATTCTGGATCAGAACTGATCAATAAAGACTAATTTTCAGATCCCTAACACCTGATGGAATGAGGGAGGCCCTAGCTTGGGAGAGGGAAAGGAGGAGGAGCAGAGAAGAGTGGAGAGGCCCTGCTTCCATGCTGTCAGAGGGGTGAGCCTATCCACACTTACCCTCCCATTCCTGCATGAGCAAGGTTAGAGTTCTGGAAATAAGTCTTGGCTCCTGGCAGGGCCTTGCTGAAGCCGCCTTCTCACTGTGTGTCCCCTGAAAAAAGTAGTAACTGATACACCGTCCCCTTCCCTCCTGCCCAGGGTTCTCAGCCCAGCTGGCTCTGGACTCTGTTGCACTCAGAGAGCTCCTGAAGAGTGTGTAGACCATACAGGAGGGAATGTGCTGAGCATGCCTATGTGCAGCAGGCGAGTGAACAGCTAATGGAAATTAATCCCCATCCCTGGACCCCTTGCTCTTCTTTGGATCATCATTAGCCTCCCGGAATCTTTCCCATGTCTCAACACTGCAAAGTGTTTCACAGTGCTAGGGATTCTGGGTAATCTACACACACACACACACACACACACACACACACACACACACAGAGGTTAAGGCAGCCAGGAGGTCACTTGCTGGGCTACAAACCTGCAGCTCCTGCATAATTTTTGAATTGAAAACTAAGGAGCTCTCAGGGTACTTTATGAAAGTTCTGCACTGATGTTTGTGCCAGCCCAGAAGCCTAGAAGTTGAATACTGTGTCCCTAATTAGAAGCATGTCCTTACCCTTTTCCAGGCACAAATAAATAGGTTTTAGCACCCATGGTGTAGAAATTTTGGATTCTTATGGGCAGGAAAATTAGGAAGCAAAAAAGGACTTCAGGTTTTGGAGACACTTCTATAGAGGCTAAAACTTGTGATCCCTTAGTAAAAGATTTCACATGTGACTTGAAGGATGAGCAACTTATGGAACAGATCTGGGGAAAGTCCTGGGGGGCTGTAGCTGGCTATGCTGAATCCCAACATGTTCCAGAATAACCACGATGGCATTTTGCCCAGCATATCATCTAAACTTGACTTATGTTTTTGCTAAAGCAGCCCTTGAAATCAGGAAAACATTTTAATTTGCTGTTGACAGAAGGGTATGTTGGGAGTTTCCCCATGAAACTTTGTCCAGAGGCCCAGAATGAATGAGTGCCACTTAAATTTGACACTTACTTAAAACTAGTACAGTATTCCTCCTCTTCTTGGAAATCTTATTGAAGTGGCTGCCATAGAATTGTTTATATGTGATTTAAACACCCATTGTATTTTTCACAGAGTTCCTCTGCCTTGGAGTAGGGACCCTCTATCTTGTCCTTGAATTCCCCACCTCCACTTAGCACCAGGTATTTGATGGTTTCACAGTAAACATTTGCTGCATGAATGAACAGAAGAGAATACAGAGGCTGAGTTCTTAACACTAAAATAGCCATGAAGTAGGAAGGAATTTGATGCTGGGTGCCTGGGAGCTGCCAGCACTCTACCCTGGGGGCAGCACTGACCGAGCTCCTCTGTTGTTAAGTCTCTGCTATTTAATAATTTAAAAAGCCAACCCTTCCTCCATTTGGGCTCAGTTGAGCGCACATCTAACCTCCTCTAGCAGTGCTGACATTCCCTCCTTGCTGGGACACTGTCTGTCCTGCCAGTGACCCACCTACCCACACTCTGCCCAGGGATCCTGCAGGCCTCCAGACCCAGACGCACTGCCAGGTCAGCTCCTGCTCTGAATCTTCAAACACAAGTGCCCTGGAGCCAGTTCCCACACACTGTTCACAAAACCAAACAACGAGGTTCCCGCTGCCTCCTCTCTTCTCCCCTGCTGTTTCTGTGTTATTTCTCTTTCATTGCTGCTCTTCCTCTGTCATTCGTTCCCACTTGCTTTGTGCTGTCCAGTCTCTGTCTTCTTTCAATCACTAGTCTGGATGACTCAGCAGCATTTACTTGCACAGAGGGGCCAGTAAGTACTCACCTAAAGTGCTACAGCATGGGCCAGGGACTTGGTTGGCTGATTTATCATGGAGGTGCCTTGTCACCATCTCAGAATTGAAGATCACAAACCCTTGCCAGCCATTCTAGGGATGAGAAACATAACCACATGGTGGGCAGGCCCCTGGCCCAAGCCTTTATTCCCTTTAACCCTAAGTAGATCAGAGCTCTGCAATCTTAACTCTTCCCTCTGGCTTGTCATTTTCTAAGTAGCAAGAACTCCTTGAAAGCATGTGATGTGTCATGAGGCCTAGGCCTCATGTGCCATAGGCCTGCCACATAACAGGAACAGAATAAATGTTTCACCAGTCACCCACAGTAGAGCTAGAGAGCACCTACTACGGGTCAGGCTTTAGGGCCCGAGGCTGGAGGGGTGAACGAAGCCAGGCCCCATGAGTATGTAGTCTTGCAGGAAAGACGTATCTTCAATTAACTCTTGACAATGAGAGTGTGGGAATCACACCACACTTGAGGAGCCTACCCCAGACAGAGAGTCAGAAAATGTTCCCCTGAGAAGTTCATTTACCCTGAATTTTAAAGGAGAAGTAGGAATTAGGTGAAGGGGATGTGGAAGAATGCCAAGAGAACATTCTAGGCAGAGGGAATATTGGTTGGATGGATAGAGGAAGGGAAAGAGGAAGGGAGGGAGACAGGGATGGATGGATGGATGGATGGATGGATGGATGGATGGATGGATGGACGGATGGACGGACGGAGCTGGCATTGAAATCTTAATCTGATGGCACAGTAGTGCAGGATATTCTTTCTGGCAGCAGGAAACAGGTGGCTGAATCAGGGTGTCTTGATACATTGTGGTGGTGGGGGTGATCTCCTCATTGCCTTAGGGTCCTCATGGCCTGTAGGTCCCATGTTGCCAGGTTGGCACATGCTCCAAGGAATGGGAGGGGGACCAGAATGAATGTAACAGCCTCCCCTGCCAGGCATGGATGACCCTGGAATTAAGGTAAAACCCTTCAGGCCCATGTTACATCAGCTCTCCCAGTCCTGGACAGCACGCCCAAGGCTCTTCTCTCCACCCAGATGAACGGGAAGTTGTTCAGAAGAAGACCTTCACGAAATGGGTGAACTCCCACCTGGCTCGAGTGTCCTGCCGCATCAGCGATCTCTACAAGGACCTGCGGGATGGGCGCATGCTCATCAAGCTGCTGGAGGTGCTCTCTGGAGAGATGCTGGTAAGGCCCTCATCTGTGCCACTCACCTCCCACGGCTGGAGCCATCGACCCTCTTCAGTAAAGGCATTTGTAGGGGTGCTTTGGGTTCTCACGGCACACCAGTGTTTCTCCCTTTTTATCCCCGAAGTTCTAGTACTTACCATGTCAAGGGCCCATGTGACTGATTGGGCTCTCTGACCGCTTTCCAGAACTGCTTGATCCTTCTGACCACTCCCATCTCTTTGTGCTCCTTCCAGAAGTCATGCATAACTTTGTCGTTCTCACTGGGGTCTAAGCATCTAGAGCTGGTCTGCATGGGCCTACATGTATAAGTTGATGGAAAAATTTACATCCCTCTTGGAACCATGCTTGCTGCATGTTTTGCCACAGGTGCAAGTAGAAATCTGTTAAAGGGGCTTTTATGGTTGTCCCTACCTAGCAGTACTGTAGGTGAGGGTGCTGCTTTGCCCAGTCACTTCCTTTGTGACCTTGGACCTATCAGGCAGGGTGTTCTTTGCCACTTCCTTCATGTATAGAATGAAGTACTCTGAGATCCTCAGGGTTTGAATGGAAAGCCGTGGTCTTCTTTTGCCTTTTTGACTCCAGGCTACAGTTCTGTCTCTTATCCCACACTGATATTCCACTTGAGAATTCCTTCAAAAACTAGTTAGGAGGCTGGAGAGATGGCTCGGTGGTTAAGAGCACTGGCTGCTCTTGCAGAGGATCTGGGTTTGGTTCCCAGAACCCACACAGCACTAACAGTGGTCTGTAACTCCAATGCCAGGGGATTTGATGCCCTCTTTTGGCATCCACGGGCATTGCACACACTTGGCACACTTTCATGCATAAAGGCAAAACACTCGTACACATAAAATAAATCTTAAAAAAGGAGGGGCTGAAGAGATGGCTCAGTGGTTAAGAGCACTGGCTGCTCTTGCAGAGGACCTGGGTTCAGTTCCCAGTATCCACATGGGAGCTAACAACCGTCTGTAATTCCAGTTCCAGGGGATCCAATGCCCTCTTCTGACATGGGTGTACTTACATACATGCAGGCAATACACGCATACACATAAAAAATAAAAATAGTAAATTAAATATTTTTTAAAATAGGCTGGGGAGATAGGTCAGTTGGTGAAGTGTGTTAGGACCTGAATTTGACCCTCAGAACACGCATAAAGAAGTCTGAGTGTGGTGGTGTGTGTACACTTGTAATCCCAGTGCTGGGAAGGTGGGTCTCTGAGGCTCCCTGACCAGCCAGCCTAGCTTACCTGGCCAGTTCCAAACCAGGGAGAAAAAAAGGTGAACAGCGCTTGAAGAACAACATCCCAGGTGGTCCTCTGGTCACTACACCCCCATATCTTCATATACCTGCACACACACACACACACACACACACACACACACACGCAATACAGTTAGCATTAATGATGATCCCCTTGGGTTCTGTCTAGGTCATTCATAGGAGGGAGGAGTTTTGGTGGGGATGGAGACACTGTCAATCAGCAATCTAAAAGTCATTCTTACCACTGACCAGCAGTAAGTAGTTCTTAGAGCTGTACCTGGTACACAGTAAATTCTCAGTTATCTATTGTGTTAATGAGTTTAAATATTATTTAGTGCACATTCAGAAGCCTATGTCAGACCCAAAAGGGCTCTCATGCCGTCTAGTTACAGTGCTTTGAGTGCTTGAGACAGGGACCCTCTTGAACTCTGATAAAAGAAAGGGGTTGAAAAGTGTCTGGAGTGACTATGGAATGTGGAGTTTGGTCAGGAGGGGGAGGGTGGGGTTGATGACATCAACTCATTCAGGCTGCAACCACCTCTGGTGTGACCGTGCAGTCCCTCCATGCCCATGGGGCCACTGCTGTCCCTTAGCCAAGGCCCACCAAGGGGAAGATGCGCATCCACTGCCTGGAAAATGTAGACAAGGCCCTGCAGTTCCTCAAGGAACAACGTGTTCACCTAGAGAATATGGGCTCCCATGACATTGTGGACGGCAACCACCGCCTGGTCCTGGGCCTCATCTGGACGATCATCCTCCGCTTCCAGGTGGGTCCTGCAATTGGAGAAGATTGAGGGGGGTCTTTCATAGCTGTCCAGGAAGTGGGAACCTTATAAAATGGTGACTAGTGTGTGTTTGTGTACATCCTGGGAAACTAGAACCCCATCCTATGGAACAGTGATCTTAGAAGGAGAGCCTACATTTTGTGCCATCCCGAAATACTAACACTCAGAACAGCTGTCCAGTCTTCTGAAGGAGAAGGCAGAAGTTAATTAGTATCTGGGTTGCAATCTGTTGGAAGACCTGCTTTTTGTCCTCTCCCACATGTGTAACTTCTTGGTGTTTGATATTATTTGATTCAGAAATTGCAAAAATAGTGCAGAAAATCTTCTTTTGTACTGTTTTAACTAGGAGCTTTTTATCATCCTGAAATTCAAGGTCTAGGTTATTTAAAACAAATTTTTAAAGGGTAATGGAAAGACATCAGGACCTTGTACCTTCTGATTTGGGAATGGGAAGGGACTAGCCTGAAATGATGATTAGCAAGAAGAAAATATACAATCCACAGACTAAAGTCCTCACCCTAGGGCCTGGGTGCTGAATGTAACCCCCATGAGTGCATGAGATTAAGCAATAACAGCAGAATTGAGAGGGATGAAAAGCAAGAGAAGTTATGTTTCTTGTCACTGTGCCATAAATACCCGACAGGAACAACTTAGTGGAGGAAGAACTTATTTTTCTCACAGTTTGGGAGGTTTCAGTCCATCATCACAGGGCAGGGCCTAGAGTAGTGGCTCACATCAGGGTGGCCAGGAATCAGAGAGAGAATGTCTAAGCTAACAGCTGCTCTCCTTTCTCCTCTTTTATTCCCCCAGTCCCCTCTTAGCGGGTGGTACTGTCCACATTCAAGGTGTGTCATCTTCCCTTAATCACACTTGGACTTGTCCTCACAGACACATCCAGAAGTGTGCTTCACTAGTCTCCTAGGCCTATCTCAGTATAATTAAGTCAGCAACCAACATTAACCATCACAGCTGGTAATGAGAAAACTATACCAACATTCGTGTTGTTCTCCCACCCTGTGGGGCACTGTACCTTCAGAGGAAGGTATCAGGGCATCTTGTCAGTTCTCAAATTCCTGTTAGAGTTATCTGATTAAAACTTCCTCCTCCAATATGGGCTGCCATCCAGGTGCCATTCTAGTACCAATGCAGAGAAGTAGGTAACTGGGACCCAGGGTCTTAGGATGTAGTGATGCTGCAAAGCTAAGTGTTACAGTTAAATGAAGGAGCAAAGTGAGGGGACCCTCCAGGGAAAACAGGAAGGCATAGTGCTTGATGCAAAGTTACTTCATCTCTTCCTTTTTCTGCCACCCTCAGATTCAGGACATTGTTGTCCAAACTCAGGAAGGACGTGAGACGCGCTCAGCCAAGGATGCGCTGCTCTTGTGGTGCCAGATGAAGACGGCAGGGTGTGTATGTCCTGGAACCCTGACATTGCCATGTGTCCCATCAGCCCCTTGTTTCCCTCTAAGGGTTGCCATCCCCAAGGGACACTAGACATCAGGCCCCCAGAACTATAGCAACTTCGGTGCAATGGATACAAGTCTGTCCTAACTTGATTCTCCAAGGCCTGGAACTCAAGATTCCTTCCCAAAGTTGCTTTGGGTCAGACTGTGGCACCTGATGGGTCATGGGCCACAACTTATGGGCACATCTTTGTGGGGCTTTGCTGTGCTCCCTCATGTTGAAGCATCTTGAGAAGGGACAGGTTCGTGCCTCTTCAGGCATATTGGCCCTCAGCTCAGACACTTGTTTGGGACCTCAGAAGAATCTATTTCTCAGTCTTAATGTTTCTCTTGGATGTAGCTACCCCCATGTCAATGTCACCAACTTCACCTCCAGCTGGAAGGATGGCCTGGCCTTCAATGCCCTGATACATAAACACCGGTAAGGGGAACCCTGGGTACTGATGGGGGGTGGGTTGGATTTAACTGGAGGCCAGGGGAACGCATTGCTGCTGCTGTCTCCTCCTTTCACCCCTGGCCTTCCCTTAAGTTCCAGTCACACTGCGGCCCACGTCCTCACAAGCTGATGCTCATAACTGCCTCCTCTCTTGCTTTTGTGTCCCATTGCTCTTGCCTTACCAACTCCCTCCATCTATCAAGAGTCCTTGCTTCATGCTGGGACTGTCCTGTAGGTGGGGCTGTCATGGCCACTCTGCTTTAACAGTTCACCTTCATCCCCAGGCCTGACCTCATTGATTTTGACAAACTGAAGGATTCTAATGCCAGGCATAACCTAGAACATGCATTTGATGTGGCTGAACGCCAGCTGGGCATCATCCCACTCCTTGACCCTGAAGGTGAGCCTCATCCACTTTACAGTTCTAGGGGAGAGCTGGGCTGATAAGGCTCCCAGGGCTGGTCCAGGTGCTTGGCAAACTATGGGCACAGAGAAAGGATGGGGCTGGGTCTTGGCTCCTCAGTGAGAAGTGGATTCTTAGCAGGCACCTGGCCCACATGAAGGTTCCTTGAGATCTTGGGTACCCTTCATTCTCCTTTTGTAACTTGTGTTCCTGACACAGATTTCATTACTGCTTAAAATCAAAGGCCTCTACTCAGTTATTTTTTCTTCTTCTCAAACTCGCTATGTAGCTGAGACTGGCCTTGAACTCCTGATCCTCCTGCCTCTGCCACCACACCTAACTACTCCATTTCCTTTCCTGTTTGTTGTCATTTGGTGCCTGCGGTTTAACTTCATGCTGGAGGAAGTGGGGGCTAAACCCTCAAAACATGGCTCCAGTTTTGATGCTCATAGTGTATCTTCTGCCTCTTACAGATGTCTTCACAGAAAACCCAGATGAGAAATCCATCATCACCTACGTGGTGGCATTTTACCACTACTTCTCCAAGATGAAGGTGCTGGCAGTGGAGGGCAAGCGTGTCGGCAAGGTATTGAGCTGTTTGTCAGAATGACATCGCCCTTTCCGTGTTTGCCAGCTCCATCCTTGAGTGAAAGCTCCCTGTCCATGCTAAAAGCTTTGCATCTGGGCCCCCAGCTGCAGTGCGAGGTGCAGAATGCTTGCTCCTCACTTTCTTCCCTGGAAAAGCCTCGAGCTGACTCCAAAGCAGGTCCATGTCTGTCCTGATGGACTACAGCCCATAGCACTGAGCCTGGAGTCCTGTGTCTCCCAAGCATTCCTCAGGAACAATTGCAGGCTCTTATTTAATTTGTTTATTGTGGTTGCAGATCTCCTAGGTTCCTGTAATATACCAGGAATGCATATCTCTTGACAGAGCACCATGCCTGATCCCTTTCCTCTGATGGGTCTTCAGCTCCTCAAGGATAGGGACAGGTTCCCATCCATCTCTGTGTGCCCCATATTTAGCAAACGCTTCCTGGTTTCCCTTGATTCTAACACATAGTTTAAAATAAATGAAATCCTGGCCCCTCTAGGGGATGGTATCCCAGCTCAGTGACCTTACTATCTTCAGGATTAAAGGGGAGAGCAGCTATGCCTGAACCCCAGAAGAGTCAGTGAAAGGGAAGGACTTCACCCATTTTCTCATCCACTACTTCTTTGGCAACACTGGGTCTTGGGATAAACCCAACCTAGAACACTTTAGAGGTTGGGAGATAAGAGCTCCATTGTAGGTCACCTTAATGGGTGGTGTTACCCGTCTGATGAGAATGAGTAATAAGACGATTCCTTAGGTCATTGACCATGCCATCGAGACTGAGAAGATGATTGAAAAGTACAGTGGGCTAGCCTCAGACCTGCTCACCTGGATCGAGCAGACCATTAGTGTCCTGAACAGCCGCAAGTTTGCCAACTCGTTGAGTGGTGTCCAACAGCAGCTACAGGCCTTCAGCACCTACCGTACTGTGGAGAAGCCACCCAAGTAAGGCCCTGACACTTAAGAGGGTGGTCCGTTCTCAGGGTCTGAAAAAAAATCAACTAGCTGGGTCTTATGAAGTGTATTTGTGAGGCACATCCTTGAAGTTCCAGAGCAGCACATGTGTTACTGGCTTCATGTCCCACTTGGGCTCCCTACTTCCTTGTCATCAACTTACAGGAAACAGGCATTGATGAATAACTTTGGCTCATAGCCCTCAAGACCTCTAGGCCCTTGAGGCAGGGAAGGAGGCTATCTCAGCCTTCTGAGTCTCTTTGGAGAGCTATTGCTGAACAGTTCCTCTTAGCGAGTCTATTCCTTGAGCCAGGTTTGATTTTAAGTAATAACATCTGTATTCTCAGATCCTGAGTGCCCCGTGTGGGGCCTTGTGGTTATCAAACATGTCTACCTTTTTCTCTCCCATATGTCACTGCTTATCAGCAGAGCTCTAAGCCTACTTCTCAGGAGCTCTGCACCACGTACCATACTTGTACACACACAACCATGCATGCACATGTGCACGGGTAGCCATGTATACATGTGTGCACACATATACAATGAACACAAGCACATAAACATATAACCACACACAAGTGTGCTAACACTGTTGTGTGTGTATGCACATACAGGTACAGTCATGCACACAAGTGTATATACATATTCACAACCATGCAATACATGCATGCACAATGAACACATGCACACATGTGAGTACACACAGATATTAGGCATATACACATACATGTATACATACATTTAAAAATATGCACCCATATAAACATGCACACACTCATATACACACCAGGCATTCTTGTTTTCTGCCATTAGCTTGCCCACCTCCTCTGAAAAGAGACTTTAGTCACTGACAATTCCCTCTATTCTCCTCCCATCTCACATTCACCATTCAAGAAATGAATGGAAAGATGAGACTAGGTTTCACCAAGTCTAGAATGTACTATAAACTCATATCTGGTTTCTGGCCTGACACTAACCCACTTTTTAAGTCCTAAATTCAATACTGATAACACCAGGCCTGGTACACAAAGGTGTTACCTCTTAGCTGTACCAACAGGTCTTCGGGGCCTCAGGCTTTCTACACACTTCTGCACACTGACATATGCTAGGCTGAGCTGGTAGCTGATTCTTCTATGCCATGTTCAGGATGTAGACATGGGTAGACTCCTGGTGCATGAAGACATGTAAAAGTGCACTGTTACATGGAGCTTGTCTCCTGCACTCACAGTCTCCCCAGAACCCAACCCTTCCTGACCCTTTGGACAAATGTGACCTATAGGACATGTTGGGAGATCCAGCTTCTGGAGACTGGGGTAAAAGTTGCTTTCAATGAAGTATGGTTTTGTGTGTACATGCTTCTAGGGTTTTATTGACTTTAAAAATTATCTGAAAATCCTTTGTTTTCAGAACAGAGAAGAGTTTCTTTGTGTGGTTTGATAGAACTTGATATTTACAGTTTTCAGAGTACTCCAGTTAGCTAATCCCTGTGAAAGCTAATGAATGCTCTGATGACCATAGTTCTTTCTCTGATTTGAGTCAGAGGATGCAGACCCTGTCTGATCTTTGCCAGTGAGAGTGAGAGATATTAATGATAGTCATTGTCTCTGCTCTTTCCTTCTTTGTTTTTAAGGAAAATATGCTTTACTTTCCAAGATCCAGAGTATGAGGGTTTCCATGTTGACTGCAGTGGGGACCTCATTGCCTGTACCCCTACTTCTGTTTCTTCCACAGGTTTCAGGAGAAAGGGAATCTGGAAGTCCTGCTCTTTACCATCCAGTCCCGGATGAGAGCCAACAATCAGAAAGTGTACACGCCTCACGATGGGAAACTAGTGTCTGATATCAACCGGGTACTGTGGTGGTTTCTGTTACTCATCTGAGGTCCTGATGAGGAAGTGGAGAGCAAAGCTAAATCGAGCCACTTTATTTAGCATTAATTACATGATAGCTATGGGGGGGGAGTCATCTGAATGTGTCTGTATGAGGTCAAATCCCACTTACTGTCCACATTTCAGCTTGTTCAGACACCCACAATCAGCATTTGAAACCAGTTTTGTGGTCTGTCCTCTATAGAACCTTGAGTTTGTCTTTGAAACTGGAATATTAATTACTTATGACAGAAGGGAAATGCCTTGTGATGTTTCAGAGGTTTGGAGATGTAATACCATCTGGAAGCTCTAATAGAAAGGAAGTGGTTACTTAGTCAACAAGGATTTGCTGAGTACCCACAGAGGTGGCAACTGTTATATTAAGCCTAAATCTGAGGCAGGCTTAAGGGAAGAGGAATTGGGAAGTCTTTGATTCTTTGGGTCTGGTCTGGACAAATATCAAAGGACTGTTACTGAACTTTAATCTGCCACCACCTCACCCTAAAGCATCAGGCTCTACCTTGATTCCTACAGTCACCTAGTGTCAGATGAAAGAAAGGGAACCCCAAGCCTACACATGTTTTCTGTGCCCGCAAGAATTCTCCTCTGCCCTGTGCAGGCCTGGGAGAGCCTAGAAGAAGCAGAATACCAGAGGGAACTGGCCCTGAGGAGTGAACTCATTCGGCAGGAGAAATTGGAGCAGCTGGCACGGCGCTTCGACCGAAAGGCCGCCATGAGAGAGACCTGGCTCAATGAAAACCAGCGCCTTGTGACTCAGGTAAGGGTTTGGGAACACGTCTTGGCAGGAGAGGGCAAGTGCTTTAGACCGCCCAGCTTTCAAACGAATTGGTGACCAAGCTGGTCTCAACAACAGCCGGAAAATACCCTCCTCAGCCTTGCAACTTAACTTCCTGTGATTGGCTAGATCAAGCTATACATCTGAGGAGGAACTTTTGGGATTTATTCATTCTTGTTCTCACTATCATCTGTCTTTCTATCTCTCTGTCTCTATCTCTGTCTCTTTTTCCCATTCTCATTGGAGGTCAGACTCTGGGTCTTGCAGCCTGCTAGGCAAATGCTCCATCATTGAGTTATATTCCCAGCCCATAATAAGTCTCCTTTTTAGAAAAGAGCCTCATGGACTGGAGAGATGGCTCAGCAATTAAGAGCATTTACTGCTCTTGCAGAGGACCCAGGTTTGATTCCCAGCACCCACATGGTGGCTAACAACCATCAGTAACTCCAGTCCAGGAGGATCCAATACCTTCTTCTGACCTTCAAAGATATTGAACAGCATGGGTGCACTTAGACACATGCAGGCAATACACTCATACACATAAAAAATAAAAATAAAATATTTAGAAAAGAGCCTCATACCAGTCTGGCCCCAAGATTGTCTTCTGTTGACTGTAGCATCAAGAAAATCAGGAGTCAGAATTGACATTAAATTACTGTTCTCTGGGCACTGTTAAATCATAGTATACCTGTCAGTGTCAGACATACCTTTCGGTCTCTGGCCCCCAGGCTTGGGACGTATTTCACTGGCTAAGTATGAACCCTGGGACTGATTCTGCATCAGAACATATGTTCCCTCCCACCTAGAGCTTAGAATCATATTAAATTTTGTCTGAAAAGGGAATAGTGAGTTTTCTCTGAGCACTAGAGAGTGTATGTGTGCCCCAGATAGTGCGGGGGTAAGCCATCTGTTTGCAGCTATGTGGCATCCCAGTGTAAGCATGCCCAGATATGAACAGGTCCTCTCAAGGCAGGGTGAGAAATACCAGCAGAAGACTCTGCTTGTAGTCAACACATAGTCTCATCTGCATGTGAGGCATGGAAAGTAAAACTGGAGACTTCTAGAGGTTCTTGTGAGACATTCAGAAACTCGGCTTTGAGAAGACAGAGAGCAGGAAGACAGCAGAGCTAATTCCTTTGTGGGAATGTGCTTTCCCAACTGGTTGCTGTGCTGAGGGGACCTGCTGCTTCTGAACCCAGGGAACTGAGATGTTGTTTCTTTCTCCTTGGGGGCAGGATAACTTTGGGTACGACCTGGCAGCTGTGGAGGCTGCCAAGAAGAAGCATGAGGCCATTGAGACCGACACAGCTGCCTATGAAGAGCGAGTAAAGGCCCTGGAGGACCTGGCCCAGGAGCTGGAGAAGGAGAATTACCATGACCAGAAGCGCATCATGGCGCGGAAGGACAACATTCTCCGCCTGTGGAGCTACCTGCAGGAGCTGCTGCGGTCCCGGCGCCAGAGGCTCGAGGCCACCCTGGCACTGCAGAAACTCTTCCAGGACATGCTGCACAGCATTGACTGGATGGACGAGATCAAGGTGGGCCCTGGGGCTGCTCACCTCACACCCCACTCTGCAGTCAGTATGTGCTTCCTCAGACATATGCCCTACCATCATGTCCCTAAGTCACAATGGAGAAAATATAAAGATGTCACCAGCACATGTTCACGGTATTACCGTTAACCAAGTGCCAAAGTACCAACCTACAGGACTTAGAAGAGACAGATGTTAATCAGGAGCCTGAAGAATCAGGCTGTAAGTAGTCGAACCCAGACCTCCCTGCATGGGGGAACAAGAGGCTTGAGTCAAGATACAGATGAATTGACTTGTACTTTCTCAAATTGCACATGCCCAGACCCCAAACCTTGACAGATGCTATAGATGAATGTGGAGCTTGAGATTCTGTAGGCTGTTCCGTGGGCATCCACGGATTCCAGTGGGCACCCTGGTAGGAAATCCTGCTGTGTAGCATATTCTCCCTCAAGAAGTAGCCATTCTCTTGTTGCATCCAGCTCCCCCTGGCTCAGACACATGCACACACCCTTTGGAGGTGTCCCCTCTCTTCACTTTGAGTCCCTTTTCTTCACCTGTCCTTGTTCCCTCTACCTTGTCCTTTGCCAGGCTCACATCTTGTCTGCTGAGTTTGGGAAACACTTGTTAGAAGTTGAAGACTTGCTACAGAAGCACAAGTTGATGGAGGCTGACATCGCCATCCAAGGGGACAAAGTAAAGGCCATCACTGCGGCCACCCTGCAGTTCACTGAGGGGAAAGGTGAGGCCAAGGGTAAGGGTATCTCCCCTGTTGAGGTCTCTGATGCTAGACCCTATCCTCTGGCCTAAAGGCCTCCTTTCAAAAAGTCTGAAATCACCTTTAAAATTCTGCTTCTTGGGGTTGGAGAGCTGGCTCAGCAGTTAAGAGCACTGACTGGTCTTGCAGAGGACCCGGGTTTGATTCCCAGCACCTACATGGTGGCTATGAACCGTCCTTAACTCCAGATCCAGGGGAATCCAAAGCCCTCTTCTGACCTCCACGGCATTGCACAACACGGGTGCACTCACATACATGCAGGCAATATACTCATACACATAAAATTTTAAAAAATAGTAAAATATTTTTTTAAAATTCTGCTTCTTTCATCAGGCACTGGGGTGCAATGGTTGAGGGGTAGAGTTCACTCCAGAGAGCAGGCTACTGCTTTAGCAGCACACAGCCAGAAAGGTGTAAGCACCGTAAGATGTCGTCTATCATCCGTTCTCTGCTAGTTCAAGTTGTGTCTAAGACTGTTTATGCTTCTAGTTCCTGCTCATTGCCTCCTTGAAATTTATATCTGAGCTTCCTAAAATCTCGCATCACATTGTGCGTTTTTACTGACTCAATTTTTGATTTCCCTTATTACTAAAGTTTAATGGGAACAGATTATAAAGAATCTGGCCTGTCCTCTGAGTAACCGAGAATCCATGCATCCAGTCCCTCAGGACCCTGAAGGGCTGGAGAGAGAGCTCAGTGTTTGCCTACCACACACAAGACTCTGGATTCACTCTCCAAAGCCCTGAGAGATGGAAGCTTCAAGAAATGTGTGGTTCTGATATGGCAGCTGAACTGAAATTTGCCCATAAATGCAGCCCTTCTCTCTCTTTGTCTTCCGCCTGTAGGGTACCAGCCTTGTGACCCCCAGGTCATCCAGGAACGTGTCAGCCACCTGGAGCAGTGCTTTGGCGAGCTGAGCAACATGGCAGCTGGGCGGAAGGCTCAACTGGAGCAGTCCAAGCGGCTCTGGAAGTTCTTCTGGGAGATGGATGAAGCTGAGAGCTGGATCAAGGAAAAGGAACAGATCTACTCCTCCTTGGATTATGGGAAGGATCTGACCAGTGTGCTTATCTTACAGCGCAAGCACAAGGCCTTCGAGGATGAGCTCCGTGGGCTAGATGCTCACCTCAAGCAGATCTTTCAGGAGGCTGAGGGCATGGTTGCACGCAAGCAGTTTGGACACCCACAAATAGAGAGCCGAGTCAAGGAGGTGTCAGCCCAGTGGGACCAGCTGAAAGAACTGGCTGCTTTTCGCAAGAAGAACCTCCAGGATGCAGAGAACTTCTTCCAGTTCCAAGGTGATGCGGATGACCTGAAGGCTTGGCTGCAAGATGCCCACCGGCTGCTCTCAGGTGAAGATGTAGGGCAGGATGAAGGTGCCACGCGGGCACTGGGGAAGAAGCACAAGGACTTTCTGGAGGAGCTGGAGGAGAGTCGAGGAGTGATGGAACACTTGGAACACCAGGCTCAGGGCTTCCCCCAGGAGTTCCATGATTCTCCAGATGTAACTAATCGGCTTCAGGCACTCCGGGAGCTCTACCAGCAGGTGATGACCCAAGCAGACTTGCGTGGACAGAGGCTGCAGGATGCCCTGGATCTATACACAGTGTTTGGGGAATCAGATGCCTGTGAGCTGTGGATGAGTGAAAAGGAGAAGTGGCTGAACCAGATGGATACTCCAGATACCCTGGAAGACCTAGAGGTCGTGCAGCACAGGTCAGAGAGTCTCAGCCTTTGCTCACCTCCCCACCCAAGGACTGAGTACCACCCCCCCACCGGCAGTTCTGTAGGAGACCATGGAATGTCCTTTGTTACAAAGTCTAAGCATCAGGAGTTAGAAGTTCTCTACTGGCTCTGGGGCCTTGCGTACTTCACCCACTGAGGGCCTTAGGTTCCTCAGACAAAGGGGATTTTCTTTATTCAATCACTTTTCAGCTACAGCAGCCTTTGCTCAGATGAATTCAATATTGAACCTCAGTGGAACACAGAAGGAAAATGGAGGTGCTCTAGACATAGGGGCTGAGAGGCTGGGACTCTGCCAGCTCTAGCTCTCTATGCTAGTTCCTAAGCCAGAGAACTCTTAAGAGGCCACAGAGACCAGTTTATAAACCACAGGTTTCCAAGTCCACTCTCACTTCGAAGGTATTCCAATTCCATCAGCACCTGGATAGGGGTTAGAGGGCATGTCTATCTTGTGGAGGATGATGCTAAGGCTATGGATGGAGGGGTGATGAGGCTGTAGAGAGGGTGCCAAGGCTGTGGATGGAGGGGTGCTCAGGCTATGAATTAGGACGGGTCTCAGGCTGTGCAGCATCTCAGCAGCCTAGCACAGAATCCAAGGATCAAGGAGCAGGGGGAGTAGTGCCGAGGTGGTACTGCACTGATGTTAAAGGAACCGGGCTCTTGTCAAAGAGAGCTGGACTTCACTATCATAAAACCCTCTCCCCTCAGCAGCTCTCCCTTATCCTTCCCAGGAATGGAGCACCTGGCTGGGGGAGGGAGCCTTCAGGTCAACATATCGGGGTAGTGGAGTCAGGATTGAACAGTGTCTTGGGGTGACTGACTCCCTTGCTGACCCCCATACTGTAACCCCTTTATAGCCCTCTCTGCTTCAGACTTCTGTCTGAGCCATAAGCCTGTATAGTAAGGAGCCATCTGTCTCCTAACTTGGTCCAGAAATACCGAGCCATAAAATTGGACCCACTGGACCAAAAAATAGGGTGTGCCAGCATATCTGCCTCACCCAGACAAAATGTTCAGCATGGTAGAAAAAGAAAGCAAGAGCTGCCCCTCTGGAGACTGCAGACCACTGGCAGTGGGTCTCCTGCCACTTACTGCTCATTTTCTTGTCCATATCAGGTTCGACATCCTGGACCAGGAGATGAAGACCTTGATGGCTCAGATTGATGGTGTGAACCTTGCTGCCAACAACCTGGTAGAGAGTGGCCACCCACGCAGTGGGGAAGTGAAGCAATACCAGGATCGCCTGAACAAGAGGTGGGGGGCAGGGGCAAGGCTTGGGACTGGAGAATTTTCTTCCAGCACCTGACATACACCTGGGGACACAGTCAAAACTTCAGGCCTCCTGCTATGCATCAGTATATTTGTATCCACAATGTTCCTGCCTTTGCCAGTCTTGTTCCTAGAATTAGGAGGAAAATTTATGCTGTGAGCAGCAAGGAGGAGAGAGATGTGTTTGTGGATCTTTGAATGCTGTGTCTGAGGAGGACAGGGTATGTTCACACATCTGTGATGAAGGAGCCATTATGAGTGTGCAGGTAGTTAGAGTAGACTGTGTGGTACTCATGCATATTTCCCTGAACAATCCTGGACACGAGAAATTGCTTCCTAAGGGCTCTTAAGTACTGTCCATAAAAGAATGCTCCTGCCTGTGCCAAAATACAGCATCAATAATAAGACTGGCTTGAGTGAAGAGGAGAATTAGCAGGGAACCTTGAGCAAGCTTCATGGTTGGAACAAAAAGCAGGCCCTGAGGAGCCTTTAGAGAGGGGCTGCTCTCAGAGCAGGGCGTAATTGCTCATTAGTTCCTGGAGGATCTTTGAGGACAGAGCAAACGCCTGCATTCCCTGCTTTTACCCTGGGCCCTGTGTGTGCAATGCCACATGATCACTCCTTCTTCATTACCCTGACCTCTTCCACATCTTTGTGCCTGTTCCTTGCCCTGCCTGAGGCAGTTCAGGAAGTGGATTTAGGAAATATTCAGCTGTAAAGAAATGAACTGGCACCATGGAGAATCTGTTGAGGGCCTATTGGGAACCAGGAGTGAGTGGAATGGGATGCTCTAAGCTACAAGGATGGGACTTGCAGGTCAAGTTTGGAGATTCCTTTGTAAGTCTGATGTTCTTATTTAGAGAAGTTGCCTCTTCACTAGGCTTATAGGTTGTGTGTATGTGTATGTGTGTCAGAAAGAGAAGAGAGAATTGTGCAGTTGCTTCTTAAGTAAGGAAATTAGATCAGTTTAAACCAGGAAACTTCTAAATAGGAAGAATTTGCCAGCTATGCAATGAATTATAGCCATGGAATGCTGGCCTTTACAAACCCCAAGCCATGCCCCACCTCAGCTGAAAAACATCAAGGTAGTTACATTATTAGGTTAGAGAAAATCTGAGGCATGGGATAGTACGATTGTTTCCATTAAGTCTTAAGAGTTGAGAGAGGCCTGAGAATCTATCCAATCTACCAGAGAAAGGGTGTCCACTTCCTCATCATACAGCACACCCCTTTTGGGGTCACACCTTTTAGTTAGAATGCTTGGACTCACGTTGGAATTTTTATGTGTTGATTCTGGCTCTGCTCCTCAGGTAGCAAGACTTGCCCTGACTCATCTTGCATCCACTTTGTTCCCTACCACAGTACCACTTCCCTGCCTCTGTTCCTCTATGTCAATGTGCTTTTTCTTGCAACAACTTATTCCAAATCCTAGCTATATTTTAGTCCAATCCACATTCATCTTCCCTGTTTTTCCAAATGAAAAATAATCCTCTTTGTTGTACTGCACCCTACTTTGTATGTACAGTTACAGTTGTGAATTGTTTAATACTAGGAATACCTTATTGAAATTCAGTTTTGTCACTGTGTGAAAATCATAGTGTGTACTTATATAACCTCAGAGGCATAACCTTCTACACAACTGGACTATATGGTATATGTGTGTGATATAGTCTGTTGCTTCAGGCCCATGGTGAGCAAAACAACATGAGATGAGGCTGGTACAGTGTTCTTAGTATGCACAAGGCTCTGGATTGAATCCCCAATATCACCATCAAAAATTTAACTAAGATGCATTAGTTACAGTCTTACGTTAGAGGAGATCTGAGGCATGGAATAGTAGGATGGTTTTAATTAAGTCTTAAGAGACCTCTTATAGGAGGGCCTCACTATTAATTTCCTGATTTCAGACCCACTTGGAAAAAGCCTTCTGCTCCCTTTTTCCCAATTTCCTAGCCTTAGAGCAATATCTATGTGCCAGGCACAGGATTCCCAGAGCATGGGAGAGCAGGGAAGTTCTCGGGCTTTTCTCTCTCCTGATTGAGCTGTCCTGATACCTCCATCTTCTCTCTGCAAATCTATCTTTCAGACCAGACTTGGCACTGTGGTCTACCTTGGGAATGTCCATAGTGCACTTGGCCCCATGTATCTGCCTGGTCCTTCCTCCTCTATCTTCTCAGTGCCAGGATATAAAGATAAATGAGATTCTCAAGGGCCTGCCCTAAATAGCTCATTCCAATGGAGCTGTATTAGAGTACAACTCAGAGGACCTCCTGACACCTGCCATCATCTCACCTTCACTTCGTACAGCTCCCCATCCTCCCTGCCTCGTGTGTGTCATGCACACAGTCCTTTATCCTGTAGTTATCTGGGAGCTTGCTTTTTTTGTTTCATTTTGGGGGGGAGACAGAGTCTTACTATATAGCACAAGCTAGCCTTGAACTTGTGATCCCCCTACCTCTGCCTCCTGAGGTTTGGGATTACATGTGTGCCGCCATGCCCAGCTGTATACTTGTTTCTCTCTAAATCATACACCCCATGGAACAAGATCTGGGTTTTTGTTGTAGTTTTGTCTTTTTGAGACAGGGTCTCCCTGTAGCCTCAGCTGGCCTGGAACACAGTATGTAGACCAGGTTCACTTTGATCTCACAGAGATCCACTTCCCTCTCTCTGCTGGGATTAAAGGTGTGTACCACCATGCCTGGCTTAAGATCTGTTTTTTTTATTATTATTATTATTTTATGTGTTTGCATGTATTGCCTGCATGTAGGTAAGTGCGCCCGTGTCATGCAATGCCCACATTGGTCAGAAGAGGCTGTTGGATCCCCTGGGACTGGAGTTATGGGCAGTTGTTAGCTGCCATGTGGGTGCTGGGATTTGAACCTGGGTCTTCTGCAAGAA